CCATTTTATTTAAAGAATAATAATATAATAATAATAATCTAAATATAAATATAAATAATATAAATAATATAATATTTAAAATCTAAAATATAAATAATCTAAATATAAATATAAATAATATAAATAATAATATAATAATAATAATCTAAAAGAATGCTTTTAACATTCTTTCTTTGTCTTCCTGACGATGTTTTTATTTAGCTATCAAGCGTCTGTTGTGCCTCCTATGGGATCATATCTTGCATCAGCTCAGGGAAGGAAAAAACCCTCAAATATTATCTCTCACCATTTTCTATAACCTAGTCTATTTCCTCCTTTGGAAACTTTGACTAAATAGGCTAGACTTCCAACTCATTTAACCTTTTTGCTTCTCTGTGTTGGCTCTGGCTAACTCCTTCGATTTTTCTTATAGTTTACTGACTGAATTGTGTCTAAGCTACTGGTTAATCTATTTAATACATTGCTTCTTTTTAAAATATTGTTTAAAATATTTATTTACAAGCCATTTTTGGTTTGTATTTATGTCTTCCAAGATTTTTTTTTTTTTTTTTTTAATTTTTGGCAGGGCACCTGGGTGGCTCAGTTGGTTGGACATCTGACTCTTGATTACTGTTCAAGTCATGGTATTATGGGCATGGGATCAAGCACTGTGTCAGGCTTTGCACTTAGTAGGGAGTCTGCTTAGAGAGTGTCTCTTTCTCTCTTCCTCTGCCTCTCACCCCACCCACATACACACACACACTCTCTCTAAAATAAATAAATAAATAAATATTTAAAAATAAATCAATAAATTATTGGCTATGCTTATTATTTTAAAGCATATGCTTTCCTTTAAAATAGTCCACTCACTTTTCTTTATCTTGCACAATAATGTAAAAGCATGTAGGCTTTGTAGGTTTAAATCTGTTGATTTTTCTCATAACTCTTTCTTTTATGTTTCATTTTTTTTCTGTGTTTTATTTTTTTGTTCTGATTTTCTATGAGAATGAACTCAATCTAGAGAAATTATGAGGTCGAGGGTTGAGGAATTTTATTTTTTCTTTCATAGAGGATTTGAATTTGCTTCTGCTAGAGGAAAGAGGAGTCACTGTAAACTGGAAATCACTTGAATTTCATTATCTCCTACCCAGCCAGTGGATATCTTGTTTATAAACTAGTAATCTCTTGCTCCAGTATAGATCTATGCTTTAAGTTTTTGTCTGTTTGTGTTTGGTTTGGGCTTGTTGGTTTTATTGTGTTTTGTTTTCTGTATTCAGAGAAAGAACAGAGAAAATAAATTTTGTTTTTACTACTAAATTATTCTCCTTTTTAATGGGGCAAGGAGGTCTCTTGTTTTTTTTTCTTCCTATTCACCTATCAGTGATGATGTATACCCTCCTGAAATACCTGGTATTGTTCTTGCTTAGCTCTCTTGTATTTGTGCATTTAAAGACTGAACCCACTTGCACTAATAATCCATGGATCTCTAGATTACCACTTGATTTGATTTCTCAGGCTTTTGTCCCTATGGCTGCACCAGCCTCCATATTCTCATTTGTCTTCCTTTATGTTTTGGCTAACAAACAAGTCTGTGTTAGCATGTAGAGACTTTCCTATCTTGTGATCATGACACATTATTTAAAAGTTACAATTTATCATTTTTCAGAAGATATTATTGCAGTGACCGGCTTTTCAAAATATCTAATCTGTTTTAGTTCAAGAGGTAAGGGTTCCTCAATATAGAAAATTGAACCCTTTGAGAAATTTACTCAAAAGTCTTTGACTTTCTTGAAAACAGAGATTGAGTCAGAATGATTTCAATATATATTTCAATGTTTTTTATTATTTCAATTATTTCAATATTTTTATCAAGAAAAGAAAAATTTCACTAAATATATGGCAGTTTTTTATCCCTCCCACTCTTATGGTGAATTTACCAAATAAGTCTAATAAAAAAAAAAAAAACACAAAACAATGTAGGTATTAAGAATGGTCAAAAAAGACAAAAGTTTTATTTTAGAATTAAAGTTGATAATTAGAAACTCTAATCCAGTGGGTAGACAAAAGATAAGGATAAGAGCATGAGAATTAATATTGGGTGAGTATGTATTTAGATACATATTTACTCTTGAGAATGAACTTGAAGACCTTATCTGATATTTCTAATTCAGCTCAGATATCCTTAAAATTATAGATTGTGCATGGTCATGAATTTTTTCATCAATTTATTTAAAATATTTATGTTTAAAGCAGTGTTGTATACATTTGGGAAGGGAGCAATAAAGATATATTAGCAAGAAGCTTACCCTCAAGTAGTATATGTGAGAATAATAATGTGTCAGCAAATAACTATCACGTGAAGTACAAAGGAATTGACCAAATACAGTCTTATTAAGTAGAGAAAACTTTCTGGCTGGAATATAGAAAAGAATTGATTAGGTTTTTGTGGTTGAAGGGTGATGTTGCCAACAGTTTGCTTATTTTTGTGTGTGATTCAGGTTAGTGGAAATGTGATAAAATATGAGATACAGGTAATTCCCTATAGGTTAGAAAGGTCAGAGCAACTCTGGAAATCTGAAAACATCAGTATGACTGAAGTGTTAGGTAATTGGTTAAAAATTTTGAGAAATAAAGTTGGAAAGGTAGTTATATTCAGATTGTACAGAAAACCAGGCTAAGGAATTTAGACATCACTTTCTGAGTGGTTGGAAACTATTGAATATCTTTGGGACAAACAAAGGTCAAGATGCAGAGCTCTCTAGTCAGAAAAATAACCTGACAGCAACTAAATCATTTGGTTGGATGAGGAAAAAGACTGTATGCTATTGCAGTCTCAAAGATAGAAAAAGATATGAAAGAGCATAAACCATAGAATTGATAAGGACTAAATAGGTATTAATTGCCTACATTTGGCTATGCTTCCTAATTTAGGAGTGCAATGTATTTTCTGACCATGTGATTGGGAGTCAATTAGAAATAAATAGAAGGATTTTGAGCAGCGGAAAAACAGCCAAAAACAAAAACCAAAACCTTTGGATATATGTATTTTAGAGGAAATAAAAATACAGTGTTATTTCTGCCAATGCCAAGCAATCCATGGTAAAAATGCAGAAAGTGTTAAGTCCTTGGATTGGCAAAATACCCCTCAACCCAGCATTAAACTGCTTAACTATGTATCATCTAATGTAATACTCACAGGAATCCTATGTATTATCTGTAGTTAGCCTCATTTTCCTGATAAGAACAGAGGCTGAAATTTAAGTGACTTGATTAAAGACAAAAAATAGGCACCCAACCTAGAACAAGAAGCCAAATCTTCTCATTATAAATGCAAGACTGTCTTGCAGCAAACCAATTAAGTCCAGAGGGTGAAGGAACAGAAGGAGTAAATATCGTCAGTGAGGCAAATGAATAAGTCTCAGATGTGGCAGGTTTAGCTTTACAGAAGTGCTGTATTACTTTTTCTCAAGAAAAGGGATCTGGATGAGGATAACTGAAAATGAAAAGAAATTTTGAGTATTGGGTTGAGAAATAAAATTCACATTTAAGATTCACCAACTTACCAGTAAATTGATGATGAAAGGTAAATTGCAGAAGAGAGATTGTTGACACGAAGATAATTGAAACATGGAGAATATCTCCTAAGGGCACTGTGACTAAAAGTTATTTAGAAGTAGTAAGAGGATTTTAGAGCAGAAAGGAGGCTCTGTCAGGATTGGAGGACATAAACGTGCGATGGATCCTACCATGCCAACATTACTGTTACAACCCACCCAGAACTGCCAGGTCTCTATGACTTATTTTGGTCTTTTACATTTTGAAATAATTAGCAAATTTTATAAATCTGGTGTTTTCACTTTCACATGAAAATCTAGCTTTGTGGCATCTTTTAAAAATGATAAAAATGGAAGACATAGCAATTTGAAGAGCTAAGCAACAGCTGCTCTGGGATTCTGGAGGTAGGTGGGTGGGAACCACTGCGTTGGAGCAGTGCCTGGGAGCTAGTTAGAACTTGCAGAACGTCAGGCCTCTCCTCAGAATGACTGGATCGGAGTCTTCCTTGTAACAATCCCCAGAGGTCTTGTAAGTTTGAGTAACACTGGTCTAAAGAGCTCTAGAGATTCAGTATGCTTCCAGATAAAACTTAGTAAAATAAAAACAAAACCAAATTAGACTGTTTAAGTGCCACCGATTGGGGACTACCCTGGCTTACTTTATAGGGTAACATGTTAAAAAGATGTTCTAGCAAATATGTTACAAAGATTTTATAGGATCCATCATTTTAAATACTTGATTTTGATTTGTTTCTTTAATTAAAACGTACAATTGCATTTAAGCCTGAATTCTATCTTTTTTTTTTAAAGACGGCTAATTAAATAATCAAGGAATAACAATCCAAATATTCATGTTGGCTGTATTGAATCAAAACTTATTAGATTTCAGTAATTTCTGTAGAATCCATGTTGGAGGAATATTAAAAGGATTTTGTTTCTTTGGACATATCTCAGTCAATTTCTGCTAATTCTCTATTTTGAATGATATTCGACTCTGGTGATTTTTTTAGGAAAGTTGAATTGCTTTATTTCATTTCAGGAACAAATTGGCACATTAAAACGCAAAACAGCCCATTTGTTGACGGCCCACAAGTACTTTTTCCTAACTAGAAAGATGTGCTACCAACTGGAGAAGCTATTACTCTAATTTGAATTTTGGTCACCTTGGCCCATAAGACTGCTGCCTGTGTCTGCTCCTAAGTGTTTACTAGTGAATCATTGAGTGTTAGTGTAATTTCAATGCTAATTGTTGTTTCAGGTTTTCAAATGGCTCAGCAGTAAGACATTAATGATTATTCATGCCTTAAGAAGGGCTGATAAGGGAATGAGATTACAGTCTTGTACAATTTTAGCTAACAAATTAAAGTGTAAATTAAATTTTCCCTGAGACAGAAAATAACTTACTTGGAAAGTCAAAAAGAATGAGCAACTTCATTCACTTTTAATTTTCTCTTTCCTGTTTTACAGATATTCAGAGTATCAGAGGGCTAGCAGTGGATTGGGTCTCACGTAATTTATACTGGGTTAGCTCCGAATTTGATGAAACACAAATTAATGTAGCACGACTAGATGGCTCTTTGAAAACCTCAATTATCCATGGAATCGATAAGCCACAGTGTCTTGCAGCTCACCCAGTCAGGGGGTAAAGTATGATTATTTTTTTGTAAAGTTTTCCAAAAATTTCACACATTTTTGTCCTGATTTGATATAAAAACTTTAATTCAGAGGAATTAACATATCAACTATACCAGTCAAAAAAAGTTAAAATGGAAATTGTAAAAGAGATCCCTGGTTAGAGATTTCTGTTATCTGCATAAAGCCAGATTTTTATACATTATTGCAAGATTTTATTAATTTATGTTTCTAAGGAGTAACAACAGTTCAGAATTTAAGAAAAGAATAAAAGGAGATGCAGTGAAAAGTCACTAATTTTATTTCAAACACCAGTTTTAATAACATATTAACATGTGTTTAGTTTTAATAACATATTTACCTGTGTGCTGATGTTATTGTCACTGCTAAGTAAATCAGATTCTCCCATCTTCTAGCTAATCATCATGTGCCCATGTAGAGAGCTTGTGTAGGGTTAAAATACTTTCTCCCCAGTGCTTTCAGGGGGAATGGCTGAAATGACTTTTTCTTCTTCTTTGGTATCTGGTTTCTCTAAACCCAGGGGATTCAATCTAGATACATTGCTTTAAATGGAAGTCATTTACTATATTTATAGGTAAATATTTCAGTTGTGAATGTAGGAGGGCAGGAAGTGAGTTGATTGTCTCCGTCAATGACAGGGAGAAGAAAGAATGGTGCTTTCTTCCCAGGCAAACATGCACCTTATCATCAGCAAGTGCCTCCACAATTCAGGCTCTTCTTAAAAAGAATTAATCTTATACCAAGAATTTACTTTGACATTAACTTTATTCCTCAGTGTATGTTTCTAGTTAACAAGTAAGTCTATCTCTACTATTTTTAATTCATATCTCTTAAATTAAGGAAACTCTACTGGACAGATGGAAACACAATTAACATGGCAAACATGGATGGCAGTAACAGCAAGATTCTCTTTCAGAATCAAAAGGAACCAGTTGGTAGGTTTTTTCTTTTTTTTTTAATAATCACTGCAGTTTTTAATATGACAAACATATATAATGTATCTTCGATATAGAACCTAAAAGAAAATATTTTAGATTAGTAATATAAATTCAGTCAGGAATTCCTCAATCTCATTGACTCCATTGGATCTATGTTGGGTAAGGAGGAAACATTCTTTTTGTGGATAAGAAGATAAATTCTTTTAACATGAGAGCTTTTATAGTAGCTTTAGTATTGAAGTCACTTAAAACTTGATGTAATTAATAAATATCTTACTTTCAATGGTGAATATGTTGATACATTGTTACAGTGGCAATATAATATACTAAAACTTCCCCTGATCATTGTTGTGTCATTATTAATAGTTATAATGATTTAAGTATTTAGTATTTACTTTTCAACAGTTTTTATTCACTATGCAGTAAGTTTTTTTGGTTTGTTCTAACTTTGCTAACCATTATAAATCAGTAGCTAAAACTCAATGGTGCTGGAAGAAAACTCTGATGTATGTACATAAAACATTTTTTAAAAATTTTAACTACAAAGATTCTTTTACAGGTTAATATGTTATATATGTTTGCACAAATATCCTTCACATTATTATCTATATATATATTTTTTTCAAATTCTAATCACTCTTTCATCATTTTTTCTTATATTGCTTTAAGAGGCAGGAACTATCACACTGCCTATTTGTCATCTCAAGTATCTTTTTTTTTCCTTAAGATTTATTTATTTATTTATTTATTTATTTGACAGAGATCACAAGTAGGTAGAGAGGCAAGCAAGAGAGAGGAGGAAGTAGGCTCCCCGCTGAGCAGAGAGCCCGATGCGGGGCTCTATCCCATGACCCCGGGATCATGACCTGAGCTGAAGGCAGAGGCTTTAACCCACTGAGCCACCCAGGTGCTCCTCAAGTATCTTTTTTAAAATAAACCCAATAATGAACCTAGATTTTGATATCATATTACATGTAAATGATGGAATATACAAAAAAAACCATAATTTTGCTTTGGATTAAACAAAATAATTTTTAATTCTGGGGGAAAAATAAATTCACCATCAAGCTTTTTAGCAATTATTCTTATTTTAGAGATGTGGTAGTATCCTTATTTGAAGTAGTTCATTTTTACTAGTGAGCATTCAGTAAAGGTTTACTATCACTAAAATGTATAATAAATAATTCTTTTCATGTAGTCTGTAGACTAAACCTCTGATAGAAAATGATAATATTAACAACTCTTTTCTTTGGACTGGCTGTTCTAAGATTTGATACACAATTGGAATTCAAGGTAGTGTTAGAAATTAAAGGCAAATTGAAATGCTAATACTTCTATGTGGAAAATGATAGGACAAAAGAAACAAGGGGCTTTACAAGATTAGGACCCATACAAAAGATTTAATTTGGACTCAAGCAATTCAGTTGGTGCTTATCTAGAATTGTTCAGAATATTTAATATGGAAAAGTGAGTATGATGAAAATAGTATGAGCAAATAAAGTCCTTATACTGTAATGTGGGAGCCACAGGTTACACCAAAATGTTAATTTATATGGTTGTTTCTATAATGGGAAAATCTTATCTTCATTAATACTAAATTCCATTCCCCTGCTCAAAATAAATTTTTAAAAAATCTAGCAGCTTATATAAAGAACGTTTATAAAAAAAAATATAGTGTTACCTGTTTATATTTTGTAGTTGGGCCTTCAAGGTGTTATGCACCAAGTGATAGTTTTAACTGTATATGAAAGAGGATTCAATATTCAACAACAAATATTAGATGTCTACATCACGTCAGTTATTGTTAGTTTGGAATTCACTTTAAAATCAATTCAGACTGATACTTTTTAATTTTAACTTGTGCAAGACATACTATTTTAACCAAAATAATCCAGAACTCACTGCAAACGATGCCTTAAATCAGCATTAATGAGCATGGCTTGCAAGTCATTCGTTTATTCAGTACAGATATTTATTGAGTATCAGATTTTGTACTAGGCTTGACACTGCCCTTTTCCTTAAGGGACACAAGAAGCTAAATCATTTTAGATTTCATTAAGTAAATTTAACTCAGTGACCTTCAGCAAATTAGTGTTACCTTGGTAGTATTTGCTTTCCTCATCTGTAAAATTGAGACAAAAATGTCTATTTTATAAAGTTCCCATAAGGACTGAATGAGGAAAATTTATTAAAGGAACATCTGGCCTTTAATAATACAACCTGTCAGGAGTAATAATACAAGGTATATTGGGTCCAGTAGACTGGAATTTGAATGATTTGATTGTCTGCAGTACTGGTAGTATAAATGAGTTCAGTGAAGAATAAACATACAACAGAATCCTTAGAAATCTTGCAGAGGAATATAGGTACCAAGTGAGCCTCTGACATGAACACATTTTTATGTAAATGTGAGGACTCAACTCAATATTGGTTTGCTGCTAGTTCTAAGAGGTAAACAAGTTTGAAGTGGTTCAATTCTTCTCTCAAATCTTCCCAACATAAGCCCTGGAGCAAAATGGCAACTGAGCCCTCGTCTTCTTATAGTTCTTTACAAATAGGTCTTACAAGTTCCTTCTGTAACTTTCTATTTTAACTAACTAGTCATGTTACCCAGGTGCTAAAATTGGTCTCTGCAAAGCTGAGTGAGAGACTGTGTTGTCCATATATAAATGTAACAAATCATTTTCCCTTTTTATGTTTCTGGATATCCTGATGTTCGGTGGGAAATCCTAACTACAACGTATTCTACCACATTTCTGCCCACAGATATCTTTATTTTTGATGTACAGAGGAAACAAGTGAGCAGGTGAAATTATCTCCTGCCTCTTTTCTCCTTCACTTCCCTACAATGAATAATATTTCTATGTTGGTAGGTCATTAACATATCATTATCATTTGCCATCTTTTAATGCCCACTCCAAGGTGTAAGGTACAAGAGGGAGAATGAACTTCAGGAACCTAAAAACTAAGGACAACTTAATAATTATCACATTCACACATAACATTCCTCTTGCTGTATGTGAGGGACAATATGGTTGGGGAAAAAGTTGTTTTAGGAACCAAACAGATAGGGATTTGAATCTCTGCTCTAATACTTACTAACTCTATAACTTTAAACATTCTTCTTTCCTTTTAAAAGGCTCAGTTTTATTGTCTTTAAAATAGAGATAACAATGTCTACATTTGGAGCTATTTTTAGAATTAAAGGCACATATACAATATCTTATGTTCCAACCACTCTGCACTTATATTCTCTAAAGAATATATACTCTAAAGAATATGTCTATATGTATATTCAAGAATATATCCTTCACACAAGTATAAAGATATTCAATATGTCATTGTTTATAGTGATACAAAATTTAGAAAGAAACTAAATCTTCATCAAAAGAAGAATGAATAAATAAATGCAGCATGTTTATGTGCTGAAATACAGGTATGTATATAAATATATGTGAAAAGACATAAATAGATCTCAGAAACGTTGAGCGAGAAAAGTAATTAGCAGAATGGTACTTACAATATAATACCACTTATGTAAGTACAAAATGAAACATACATTAATATATATTGCTTCTGGATGAATAAATTTATAAAATATATGGAAAGAGGTAAACTGGAAATGTGCACACCAATTTTATAATAGCAATTCTCTTTGGGAAGGAACAATGATGACATTCACAGTGAAATTTCATCTTTATCAAGAGGGACTTTGCTGTATTAGTAAAATTTAGGTCATATTTCATAAAAAGATTCAAAGTAAATATAATAAAAGTTAGTATTGTTCAATTCTGGATGATGAATGTGAGTGGTCATTAATTTCTTCTCTTCTCTATGTTAAATACTGGCTTTTCAAAATATCCCCAAAACAGTTTGTTGTTTAGACAAAGCTGAGCTTCTTATTTCCCACACTGAGGAAGAACTTTAAGTCATCAATGTTTTAGCAGTGTCTCAGAGAGGGAAAAACAACATTGAAATAGTAATTGAGATTTAGAAGTCTGGTGTGGGGTAGATGTTTCAGTTGGAGTCATGGTTAAGAGCATTAAGTAAAGATCATTATATAATTCTGGATTGGTAGATACAGAAAGATTTTTGAGGGAATGTGGATCAAAGAGTCTTGATGTATAAAGTGTCATTTGTTGCTTTTTGGTTGAAGAGTTGATGGGCTATCCGGAAGTTCCTGAAATTCAGGCTCTCCTGAAGTTCCAGTAATATTATCTTGACACCAATTTACCAGACAAAAGTTTCTTAGAATAGTAAGTTATGACATTAAAGACCGTGGATAGTAAAGACACATTAATGTAGACAATAAGGTGTGTTTTGGGCTTTCTCATCTATAAAATTAAGCCTTTGTTTCATAGGTTCTTTTTGGCTTTTCTTTTTATTCATTTAAAATACAGTAAAAGCATCCTTTGTGAAGAATTGTGTACACTAATGTTATTTTTCTCTAGCTGACTCTGAAAAATTATCTACGATAGGAGATGGGAGACAGTTGTGTGTCTTTCAGGGTTTCATGAGAAACAGAACCACTCGAATATGTGGATAGGTAGATGAATAGACAGATAGGAAGAAAGAGAGAGAGAGAATCTAGTTATATAGATTAGGTATACAAAGAGATTTATTACAAGGATTTGTGGAATGAGATTGTGGGGGCTGGCTAGGCAAATCTGAAATCCTCTGGCAGGATGGAAAGTCTAAGGCAGAAAGTTTAAACTATAGACCTTGGCTACAACTTCTTTTTCCTCTTAGAAACCTTAGTTCTCTGCCTTTCAAATAACTGTATCAAACCCACCTAGATTTTTTTAGGATAATATCCCTAACTTAAAATCAACTGGCTGCAAATAGTAATCACATCTACAAAATACTTTGATAGCAAAATCTAGATTAGTGTTTAATTGAACAACTGGGGATGATAGCCAAGCCAGGTTGACATGTTAAATGAACATCACAATTTTTAAACACAAACTTTCCTATATTTTATCCACTCATCCATGTGC